GAAGGGTAAAAATATATGTATTATCTTATGGTGTTTACGGTGTTGCCTGGAAAACATCTGTACGATATATGGCGTTATACTGATAAACTTTACAAAAATACTTACAAGGGAAGTACCCCAAGTGTCCGCTCGATTTTTCTTAGATATTGGTGGCTAAAAATGTTCCCCGGGCTAGCTCTTTTTATTTAAACTGATTACTCAAATCAATTCATAACAAACTTTATGGATTTATACAAGAATTTATTTCAAAATTATTACATAAATTGAATTCCATCAAAGTCGATATTGTCTATTTTCCCCATCCCCATCCATATGGTCTGTATCCCCATGGACGTCCCCATCCTCCGTGGTGATGGTGGTGGTGTCCCCATCCTCCGTATCCACCATAACCTCCGTATCCATATGGGCGGTCTTAAATTGAAAAATAAGAAATCTGCCTTTTTCGAAAAATGTCTTACATCCATATCCCCATTGGGCATTGGCAAAAGCGAGCAAGCATGCAATTAAAAGCACCAAGAAGAATAGTTGAGCGGAAATCATTTTTTGTATGGAATCTGAAATGATTTTCAATCAGTCTGATTATATAAATAATTGTAAGAAAAAGTAAGAGACTTCTAGAAGCTTCTAGGTTCTAAAAGATCGAGAAAGTACTTATCTCAAAAGTAAAAAAGAAGATCAATGTTGTGCCATCAGAAACTTGCCCTGTCCTTTTATACCCGTCTCTTCTGACCCTATTCCCCGAATCGTTTTCCCTTGTGTCTTTATCGTTGTTGTTTTTTCTGACCTTCAATCTTATCTCCGCCATATCACGTCATCTGTCAGAAGTTTTGTGTTTCGGAGATGTCTAGTTTTCCGTTTAGGCGACCATGTGGGATATTGGATCAAGAAATTAAAAGATGGTTTATTTCTATCGTTCGCTGAAGAAGCAATTATTTGTAGAACTGGTGGGTCTAGAGGTTTCCAGAATTCGGCGATCACTAATTTTAACATTCTCATGCTGGTACTGGTTTGGGATCACGAAGTGTGCCGAATGGATATTTTCGGACGATCTACTATATTACCATTAATTATACTTCTATTAAAGTACAGGATGAAAAGATAGCAAACTTAAGGTCCTCCACAATGTCAAGTTTCAGCTCAATTATCTTGGCTCAAACAATTAATCAGTTGACAACTTCTTCATATCTTTAATAGGAACCGAGATAAATTGGCTCAAAGTTTTAATCTTAGGGGCCCTTAATATCAGGTTTTACGATACACCTTTGAAGTAAGAAGATATAAGACAAAGTTACTCACTTTGTTTGATATTTTCAGATTAAACTAAACAAAAAATTCAATTTTGTAGTTGACAACTTTTTTGTACAAATTCATCCAAATGAGATAAACCGCCCGAAAATGTCTGTAAGATTTGTCACTGGGTTCAAGCGATATCCTATTTGGATAAATTTCTCTGAAAAAGTTGTCCACTTCACAACTGAAATTCTTTTTTGTTTAGTAGAGATTTAAATGTTCATACTTGTCCATTAGTCATTTGTGAAGACCAAGATAGAATTATGGCTGACAAAGGCGCCAAAAATTTGATGATTTGAAGATTTTATTACAGTTCTCTGGATTAAACAGTATTCATACATTTTTACATTTCATTGGTCATGAAAGTTGACATTGTCTAGTTTCTCCATCCACCGTGTCCGAATCCATGGTGTCCGAAATCATGGTGTCCATGATGTCCGTGGTCGTGATGGTCGAATCCATGATGGTGATTGTCGAAATGGCCGTCTGAAAAAATTTTTTTTTGAGGGGAATATCTAAAATTTTGAAGGAGGGCTACAGCTCAGCCGTTAGCGACGCCCTACCTGTAACGGTGGGACCACAAGTTCAACTCCTTGAGAGGCTTATATGAACAAAATGTCTTTCAAGGAACTTACAGGAATGAACAGCAACCATGCAGGCAACGAGGAGAACGACCAGGAAAAAGAATTGAACGGTCATCTTTTTTTTTCTGAAAAAATAAGATCTCAGAAAACAGTAGACAGTCAGAATCTTTGAAAAAAATATTCGATATTTTCCCCAATCCGGACCTTCACTTTTATACATTCTGAACTTATTTACAAGTTCTCCTGTTCATTTTCGTGATCTCTATTTTTGTTGTTGTCTTCTGATATCTTTGTTTTTATCAGCTGATTCAAAAAACAGTCTAGTGAAATATTTTGATCCCTACATCATTGAAAATATGTTTTAGAAAGAAAATAGCCATGACTGGGCACTGAGAAATAACTGGAATCCTGTTAGGATGATCATAATGACTAATTGAAATTTTAACAAAATATTTTTCTAAAAATTTTAGACTAAAATAATAACGTTTTTTTCCGATCGTCACATGATATAAAAATTTAGACCAACATTTGGACATCAAAAATTGAACTAGATCGATTGCATCTCAAGATTTCATTATTGTGAATTTATTCCTATTCCGAAATGGACAGATGCTGAATAACTGGTTCTAAAACGTCCGGTTGCGAAACAATCCGTTGCAAAATGGTCAGATGCGAAATGACCCGTTCTTAAACGTCCGGCTGCTAAATGGTCAGTTGTGAAGCAATCAGTTGCAAAATTGCCAGTTGCGAAATGGTTAGTTGTCAAACAATCAACTGCAAAATGATCCTTGGAAATGTTTATGGTAAGTTTTCAAATTACCGGTTCAAGAAAGTCCGGTTACTAAATTGCGAAATTGTCAGTTCCGAAGTTATCAGTAGCAAAATAGCCGGTTGAATTATGGTCCGGTAAAATTTCCGCTTGTAGAACGGTCGGTTCCAAAATGGTCCTTTGTGAAGTGGTCCATTGCAAAACGGTAAGTTGCAAAACAACCAATTCTAAAACGTCCGGTTGCGAAATGGTCCATTGCACAGTGACCTGTTCTAGAACATCCAGTTGCAATATGGTCCACAGAAAAATTATCTAATGCAAAATTACCGGTTAAAAACGGCCAGTTGCAAAACAGTATGTTTCAAAACTATCAGTTGCGAAACGACCGGTTCTGAAACGCCCGGTTGCAAAATGGTCAGTTGCCAAATGGTCATGAACTATGATAATGTCAAACAGTTCTTTTTCAGATTCATCTGAAAATAAGCCCGAGAAAAAAATGAAGGCAGATTCTTGATATCGTATAAAATTGGAACGGAAGTGATAGGAAAATCGAAGACATATCGAAAGTGAAGAAAATTTTCGGGGCGAATATGCAGATTTTGGAGAACTGAGATATCTGTGACGTCTGACGATCAAAAAATTTGGATTTTAGAAATTTTCTTTCAAGTTTTCGTTTTGATTTTATTGATATTTCCAGCACTTTTCTCTTATTCTTAAGCTTCGAAAAGTGATAATTGCTATATACCTTATTTTCTCTAATAGAAGCCCACCCTAATCGTGCACTTTGCGCTCGATTATCTCGGTTCCTATCAGAGATATCGAGAAACTGTCAATTGATAAAATATTGGTCATATTATGATTAATAATATAAGAAGGCAAAGTATTTCTATCCGAATTATTTGCCAATTAAGGATCCTTCCTATTTTTACCATAACTCACAAGCAAATCCAATTCCATTTAAAGCTGATGAAAAATAGTAGTAGTACGAGTTGGTAAACAAGAAGCCCAATGGGAACGATGTGAAGCAGATTGAAGAGATCAGAAGGGTAGTTTTGGCACTGGTTGCATAGAGGAAGGACGGTGAGAAGAAACAAGCGGTGACATAGGCCAGGTAGC